TCTGCTTATGTGGTGCTGAGGAATTGAACCCTCATGCATGCAAGGCAAGCACTCTTCCACAGAGCTACCTTCCCAGCCCCTGTTAGACTCTTATCTCCAATAAACTACTCAGAAAAAGCCAAAAGTGACACTTTAGCTCAAATGGTAGAGAGCTAGCTGTGAACAAAAGAAGCTCAGGGATAGCACCCAGTCCCAGAGTTCAAGCCCCAGGACTGACACGTACACACACCAGGTCAGAAACAACTGTTATGTTTTAGTGGATCCATGGCTGCTGATGCTTAAATTCAGAGATCTCTGCTTTGACCTTCAGGGCTGAGTTCTCAGTGTCACAGAAAAGAATGTAAGGTCAGGGTTGGGAAGATGGCTCAGTGGTAGAGTGCTTGCCTTGCATGCATGAGGCCCTGGGTTCAATTCCTCAGCACCACATAAGCAGGGGGAAAAAAGCCAGAAGTGGCGCTATGGCTCATGTGGTAGAGCACTAGCCTTGAGCTGAAGAGCTGAGGTACAGCGCCCAGGCCCAGAGTTCAGTCCTCATGACTGGCCAAAAAAACAAAAAAAGAATGTAAGGTCACATCAAGGTAGAAACCAAGAATTTTTTTTTTTTTTTTTTTTTTGCGGGTCATGGGCCTGAACTCTGGGCCTGAGCGCTGTCCCTCAGCTCTTCAGCTCAAATCTAGCACTCTACCACTTGAGCCACAGCGCCACTTCCAGCTTTTTCTGTTTATGTTTATTAAACCCAGGGCCTCATGCATGCAAGGCAAGCACTCTACCACTGAGCCACCTTCCCAGCCCCAAACCAAGAATGTTTCTTAGTACACAACCTACACATGGGTGCCGGCACATCTGATAACAGGTGCTCTAACATCATGGGAATTTATGGTGAACAAAGCAAGTTGGGGCTGGGAATGTAGCTTAGTGGTAGCATTCCTGCCTAGCATGCATGAAGCCTTCTCAGTACCACATAAACAGAAGAAACCAGAAGTGACACTGTGGCTCAAGTGGTAATGTGCTAGCCTTGAACAGAAGGAGCTCAGGGACAGTGCCCAGGCCTGAGTTCAAACAACAACAACAAAAAAAGCAAGTTGGGGTTTGGGTCAAATTCACCTTAGGATAAATGCTCTTTTGATCTGACACCTGGCATATTTTGTCATTCTTGCTGTTAAACATTGTTTTACTAGTTGAGGCAGAGATTGTGAAGTTGGCATGCTCAGTAAACTTGAGTCATTGATGTCTGGAATCTCTTCAAAGAAAGGAGAAATTCTATCACACGCTCCCTTCAAGACAGGTGTCCAAAACAGTTTGTGCCCAGAGAAATCATTGTCCCTGGTGTTTGTCAGGATTAATGCCTTTCTTTAAGATATCCTTGCTCAGTTCCCAGAGCACACAAATTACTTTTGGACAATCAGGCAAGGTCAAAGCAGAGAGCTGCTCTTTTTCCTTTTCTCTTTGACACATGCTACAGTTATGAGGTACTATAGGCTTCTAGCAAAGATATTACTTGTGTTTCTAACAAAGCTACCCGAGTACTGTTTGTGTCTCTGAACTCCTGGCTGGAGGCTCTTTTCTTATGCCTTGTTTTCTCTGATTTATCCTCCCTCAAGAGAAAATACTTGCACATCCTATCTGATAAGGGACTTAAAACTAGGATCTGAAAACAACTCTTCTCTAAACAACTCTAAAATAAAGGGGTTTTTTGTTGTTGTT